GTCAGATGACATTTTATACTAGAGTAGCAGATAGTTTAAAGTGGTACACTGTGGTTTTCTCTCCAAAAACAAACATTGTCCACTCCCAACCTCAGTTTCCTCATCCATAAAATGAGGTAGTATGTCCTCAGATGGTTGTGAAGATTAAGTATGTGGAAACAACTTGAAGTCTTCAAAGTGCCAGACAAATATTAGATATTTATACTAAAGGTAATAAGCACAAATGATCTGAGACTATAAATTCTCTCTGGTATTAAGCTTAGTGAAACTTGAGCTTCTCTCACCCACAGGGTGAGGCAGGGCTATCAATGCATGTATTATAATAGACGATACAATTTACCATACTGGCCTTGTTTTTACTTGCTGTTTATCCAAAACTGGTTTTTTTCCAGCCAAAATCTTATATGCCTTTCCTGTAAATTTCCTGGGGCACTCTTCTCTCTGTAGATTACCCTGAAACTTATCTGGAACAAGGAAGGTCTGCTAGACCCACCAAGAATCAGGGTGATCAGTACTATTACTTCCTATTTGTCAAAACAAATAGGAATGGAGTTTTTTAAATTGTATTTTTAAAATAAACCTATTGCACATTTTAGATTTATTGACCAGGCAGGATTGATGCATAAGGTCTGAGACCTTGTGTATATATATAGCAAGGAGAAAATTTGGAGGAAAAGAAATCTTGAACCATAATCATGGTAGCTGCAGAGCCTCACTATCTCAGGCAAGACTCTGCAACTCAGCTCAGAACAAATATACCTGAGTCCTGTCAGATTGATAAAACAGTTAACTAAGAGGACAATAGGAAAGCAGAGGGGCCAGAGCAAATTTCTTAAACTTTGTTCAAGAGGACCTTGAAAATAGAACTTCTTGAACAAAGAAGTTTGTTCAAACTTATTCAAAGAAGTTTGTTGAAACTACCATAGTGATAGCCTTCTATTCGACTTTAACCAGAGCTGGTCATTCTCAGAGGGTTTTGTGTGTGTGTGTGTGTGTGGAGAGAGAGAGAGAGAGAGAGAGAGAGAGAGAGAGAGAGAGAGAGGGAGAGGATATTTTCTTCTTCTTCTTCTTTCTTCTTTCTTCTTCCTCTTCTTTTTTGTTTTGAGACACAGTCTCACTCTGTTCCCCGGGCTAGAGTGCCATGGCGTCAGCATAGCTCACAGCAACCTCAAACTCCTGAGCTCAAGCAATCCTCCTGCTTCAGCCTCCCAAGAAGCTGGGACTACAGACGTGAGCCATGATGCCCGATTAGTTTTTCTATTAGTAGACGTGGGATCTCACTCTTACTCAGACTGGTCTCAAACTCCTGAGCTCAAGCTATCCTCCTGCCTCAGCCTCCTATAGTGCTAGGATTACAGGCACGATTCATCATGCCCAGCCAAGAATATTTTATTTTATGATTAATGTATCATATGAAAATCAGAACTGTGACCTTTGTCCTAAACTGTCCCCTCTAAGAACTCTCAATCTTGAAACAATACTATTTCCTTTTTAACTCAGCAATGGGAACATTCAACATAAGTTACAGTAAAATGTAATATTATGGAAAAACATCGTCACCTTCTTGCTAGTAGAGTTAGATATAGTAAAATGCAAAGAAAAAAAAACAAGGAAGTGATTTTTCATTATTCATTTCCAAGAGTAGGATTTCATAATCTTTGAGGCAGTCTGAACTGTGACCTTCTTATTTCCTCATTAGAGTTTAGAAGTAGAAAGAGGAGCCATACTGAGTCAGCAGAATCTCAGATCTTCAACAGGACTGTGTTGGTTTCCTGTCACTATGCCCTCCCTGGCACTTGCCACAGCAGTAGTGCTTGATACATTTTGTCCAATTATTGTAAATGTATGTATGTATTATTTACTCATGTACAGCCAATGCCAAGCACATAGGAACAAAGCTGATCATTCTGCCAAATGCAATTTTCTTTGATCATTTGCTAAAATAATTGTGGATTGATTGGATGACTAACCCCAACCCAAACTGACAAGTTTGGTCTTCAGCACTCTTCTGTGCACCCTTCAGTGATTTGTTCCTCTGTTTCAACTACACTCCCTTCCTTCCTATAATAACATTGAGAAACAGTTTAGTGTGGCAGTTACTTGCTTAGGCTCTGGAAGCCATCGGCTCATACGGAGAAACTGTTTTGCTCATACGGAGAAACTGTTTTGAATAGCTTGATGAATTAAAACTTTCTCGCTATGTCAATTCAACCATCTCTTAACTCCAGCAACCTGGCACACAATATGTACACAAAGAAATACACATTGAATGTCAAAAGAATGAGTAAATGATTAAATTGTTAATTAAAGTGGTGATGGACCATTGCATTGACCAAGTCCTGGTGGGTCCATGCTTTGCCTCAATGGGCTGTGATGGGGTGTTATGGCTCTTTTCTATCAGCTGAGTGCTCTGAGAAAGTAACAAAAGCATTATTAAATATAATATGATAAACTTCAAGTGAGTAGGATCAGGAATTTCAGGTGTTTTGCTCTTTGTATTTACCTACAGATTAGGAATCCAATTAACCACCCAGTCCTATTTATATTAATCACCCATTTATATCTCCCGTGCGTATCTCAAATCTATCTCTATTCTCTCTTGCTTCCAAGTAGGCCAACCCACCATCCTCTCCACTCATCCTACATCGTTTCTTATCTCCTCTTCTGTGTGCCAGGCAGGAATCTTTGGACCACTTCTCTTTCTTACCTAAATTCACACCTTATGTTTTTTTCCAATCTTAATGGCTTTGGATACTCTTCAGACTTCTGATGTCTACTGTTAAGAATTGAATCATGCTCTCCACTTCTCCAAATATGTTGGAATCCTAACCTATAGTAACTAGGCTGTGAGCCCCAGGAGGACAGAGTCCTTTCTTATTCATGACTGTAGTCCATCCCCACTTTCTACCCAGTGTCTCACACATAGAAGCCTTTCCACAGTCGATGAATGAATGCATATGAATTCTCAAAGCACGGAGACCACATCTTACTCCACTTTTGGGTGAATGCCCAATGCAAAGCAGGCACTCCATAAATACTTGTTTCATGTTTGGTTCAGTTGATGAAGGGATGACTAGTTTTCCCAGGTTTTAGAGAAAACTGCATTTGAATCTTTCTATTCTACAGCTTACTGACTATGTGATTTTGAGTAGTGATTTCCTTTGCTGCACAACTGGAGCTAATGCTTATTTTGTAGGGTTGGTGTAGAAAGGGATAGGTTTATGAAGGGCTCTGCACATTGACAGAGTGTGTATTCGTAGTATCCCCACTTACCACTGGGAAAAGTGTCAAGGAAAAAAATCCCAAAGGGAATAAGAAAGTGACTTCTCAACTAGGGAAAAAAAAACCCAAATAATTTTTGCATACAAAAAGCCACAAACAATCCCCCAAGTCATCCTGGTATTTGTTTTTATCCAACCTTCTCTGCATTAGGATGTCAAGGAAGGCCAGGCCCATAGCTCATGCCAGTAATCCTAGCACTCTAGGAGGCTGAGCCAGGAGGATTGCTTGAGTTCAGGAGTTCAAGACCAGCCTGAGCAAGAATGAGACCCCATCTCTACTAAAAATAGAAAAAAATTAGCCAGGCAACTAAGAATAGATACAAAAACAGCCTGGCGTGGTGAGTACCTGTAGTCCCAGCTACTTGGGAGCCTGAGGCAGGAGGATTGCTTGAGCCCAGTATGAGTTTGAGGTTGCTGTGAGCTGGGCTGACACCACAGCATTCTAGCCTGGGCAACAGAGTAAGACTTTGTCTGGGGAAAAAAAAAATGTCAAAGGAGAAAGGGGCATTGCAGGGGAGAATCAAGGCTGTCCTTTTGCCTTGTTCCAAATTCCCTTCAGCAATGACTTGACAGCCACTTGCCACTTGGAGTTTTTCAACTCTATGGTAATTAATATTTATAAAGAAAATGTAGTGGGTGCCAACAAAAATTAGGCACTATTTAGAATCTGTCTATCCATTTAACACATCATAATTGAAACCCTTCAAAGTCTTGTACTGCTTTTAGAGTACAGACTTGAACCCTAAACACAGTCTGCAAGGGTCTGGCCCTTTCCCACCATTTTTGCCTCATCTCACCCCAATCTCACCCTTGTTCCCTGAGCTCCCCCAATACTGGTGTTTGAGTTTCAGCCACAGGACCTTTGCACCTGTGCTTCCCTTTGCCTGGACAACCCTCTCAGTTCACTAGATTCATCATTATAGCTCAAGTCCGGGGCACTTCTTCAGACACCTCCTTGACCTTCCAGTCTTGGTTCTAGAATCTTTTCCCAGTCACTCACAGTAGGAGCTAACTTGTAATTACACACCCACTTGTGTAGTTATTTTGCTTGTGTCTGTTTCTTCTCATACTGTACTCTCTGAACAAGACGACGGATGACTTGGTTACCCCTTGTGTCCCCAGCGCCTAGGATGGTGCTTGCCGCGTAGTAGGTGCTCAATAAATGTGGTTTGAATGAATGAAAATAAATGAAAGGTCTCCAGGACTCGTTCACGGATCTGTAGACACAGGAGTGAGGAAGCCAGGGTCCCTGGCCCCCACGTCCCGCAGGTTGGCGTGGTATGGGACATAAACCAATAAGCTAAGAAGCTAACTCCCGCTCTTTTCTCCAGCCGGCGCGCGATTGCTGGCACGAACCCTTCCCCAGTCGTAGAGGATTCTGGAGGAAGGGGTGGGTTTTAAGAGCGGATGCTGAAGGCGAGCGCACGGTGATCGATCAGCTGAACCATGAAGGGTCTGGTACTGGTGGAGATCTCAGGTCCTCGACAGGGCGCCAGGAGTTCGCGCTGCCGGGCTCGGCCGGCCGCCAGCTGACCCCGCTCGCAGTCCCTCGTGCCTTACGCGGCCGGCGCGCTCTCCCCAGCGCCCGGGCGCAGCAGCTGCTCCCGGGTCTGGACTCTCGGGCCCGCTTGCGCCAGGCGCGCGTGATTGGCAGCCCCCAGCCCTCGCCCCAGTCCCGGCGCGCCCTCCCACCCGGGGCGAAGTCCAGTCCCCGCCCGCTCTCCAGCCTCCGCCTCCTCGTCTCCTTCTGGCCAGTGCCCGGCGCGGAGCTCGGATCCGGCCGTGCGCTTCCCGCAGGCGGCACGGAGCAGCGAGGGTGCGGGCGGCCGCGGTGGGCGCCGTCCTCGTCGGGGCCGGGCCATGAAGGTGGAGTTTGCGCCGCTCAACATCCCGCTGGCGCGGCGGCTGCAGACGGCGGCGGTGCTGCAGTGGGTCCTGTCCTTCCTGCTGCTGGGTAAGGACCCCGCGCCGGGCCGCGGTGGCCGGGCTCTGTCTCCTCCCTGCGGGACGTCCCCTGCCCGAGACGTGCGCGGAACCTTCCAACCCTTGCTCCCCGTCCGCCGGAGCGGGCAGGTCCAACAGGACGTTTGTGGCCAATGTGGACTCTCCTCTTCGGTTTCTTTCTCCACGAGAAACTCATAGCCAACGACTGTTTACCAATTTATGTCCCCCTATGTTGTTTTTAAAATTGAGGTGGACCTTGCCTATATACTAAAAGGCATAGATGATAAATAGCTCAGTACGCTTTGACAGCTGCTATATACACCCAAATGTAACCACGACCCAATCGAGCGCTTGAGTACATTAGCCCCTCAGGAAAAAAAAAAAAAAAAAGTTGGTAAATTCGTTTCTGGAACTGTCGATTCATAAATGGAAAAGTAATGCCTAAAGATTAAAACCCCAACTCCTTCCTCTCTCCACCCTCATGACAAATAGCAGGGCTAACTTTTCCGTGTTTAAGATCTCCCGGGTGCTGAAAGGCACCTGTCTGGGAAGACGACTGCACCACTCGCTGGGTTGGATGGAGTGGCTTCTTTCCTGCAATAATTGGACCCCGCGGTGTGTCCCCGTTGCTTCCCAAGTTAAGCCCGTGAAACGTACATGAGCCAAGTCATTAGATGGTGCAAAAGAGCGCTTTTCTCCCTCGTGTTTGTTCTGCTCTTGGAGTAAACGGGGTGGTGTGGGAGGAAGAAGAATTTCGGGGAACCCCTTCTGTGGGAGCTTAAACTCTTCTGAAGTCTAAAAATCATTTGTATGCTGAAAGCCCGTAGACTGTACACTGCTGGGGCGGCAATCATATTAAGCTCATTGCATTGTGGAGTTTTTACACTTTTGAAGCTTGTTTTTACATTTTGAATGCCTGGATCAGTGGTTCCCAACTCTGGCTGCACATAGGAATCACTGGAGGTGCTGCTAGTGTTTACTGAAAAAAATAATTCCAAACATTAACTCATCAAGTCCTCACAGGCCAAACGGCGAGGCAGGGTTAATAACATTATACTCCATTTTGCTCTGGACCTAAGGACAGTGGAGATAAAAACAGACAACCTTCTCCAGCACTTAGTATGTGTGGTGTGTTGTTCTAAGCAACATCCGCTATTAACTCTGCACTCTTCACAGCAGCACTATATGGTAAGGACTATTTCTGCACTCATTGTACAGATGAGGGAACTAAGAAGTGAAATACTGTGTTTCCCTGAAAATAAGACAGGGTCTTATATTTATTTTTCCTCAAGAAGACACCCTAGGGCTTATTTTCAGGGAATGTGTTATTTTTTTTTAAGTATGGTACATCAGTCTACATTTATTCAAATATAGTTAAGTCGTCTTCTTCTGGAACATCATCATAACTCTCCAAACCCCAAATTCCATCCTGAATTTCTTGTGACTCTATTTCCTTTAGAACCGTTGGCCCCAATCTCTCACGTCAAGCAATAGAGCTCTCGTGGGGCACATGAGTGGGGCCGCTCGTCTTCTTTGCCTCGGAGAGGAAATGCAGGGGTTGTGCAGATATGCTGTGTAGCCACGCCCATCACTAGGTCTTATTTTGGGGGTAGGGCTCATATAGCACAAATGCTTAAAAATCCTGCTAGGGTTTATTTTATGGGTAGGTCTTATTTTGGGGGAAACACGGTAGTAGTTGGAAGACCTGGATGCAAACCCAAGTATTCTGCCCAAAGTCTTGGCTTTAACCACTAAACTACCCTCTTTTAATGGTTTGCAGCCTTTGTAGCAGATCAGTAAGCACATCTGATAGCCACTGTCCTTTTCATTCATGGCACTTGTCATTGCTTGCATTTATGCATGGCTGTGGTTATTAGAGAAAGGTCTGTGTTGGCATCCTAGCCTGCAAGCTTAGTGCCTGGCCCATGGAAGATACACCAAGAGTACTTGTTGAATGACTGTCTTCCCACTCTTTCACCCAGAAGAGAAGTTATCCACCCCACACATCCCTATGAGTACTAACTCATGTAACCCTCACAGCAACCCTGTGAGAGAGGGACTACCCCTGTCCTCATTTTACAATTTACTGTCCTCATTTTAGGAGGTGAAGTAAATTACTCGAGGTCACGTGGCTCAGTAGTGGGAAGTTGAGCCACGTGTGGCCACATGCCAGTGAATTAGTGACTAGGACATGGCACGTGTGCAACAAACCATGCCCAATTTGAATCAAACTATTGTGGCTCTGTGGACAATTCATTTTAATGTATTTTTGTTTCACATATTTGACATATGAAATAGAAGCATATTATTTATTTAATTCTTACAGGAAAAGGATAAATGCTAACTTCTTTCCAATGAATTATCAATTTTCAAGTAAAGAGTTGATATAATGGTTATTTCTGGTGGTGACGAGAAGTTTTATTAATGATGTATTTTAAGATCTCTAAATCAAACTCCTGGAAGGCAATTTTCTTGCCACCACCAGGGAAGTGAGTTTAAGCTATTAGTACTTGGAATATATTTTTAAATAGCAAAATGTTTCATTTTAGTCATGAAATCAAACACTGTTTCCTTCAGATAAATGTTAAGTACCTGTCATCCAATCTTAATATTCAAGAAACTGAAACATTACTTAGTAGCTTGCACGCCACTAAGTTGCTAGCTGAAAAGTAGAAAACTGAAAAAGAGTGAGCCAATATTTATTAACTGTCTTCTACCTACAATCCCATGGCAGGAATTATTATATTTAGTTTTTTAGATGAGAAAATCAAGGCTCAAGAAGTTAAGTATTTTGCCCAAGACCACTCATGAAAAGTGGTAGAATCATAATCTTTTACTGAATGGGTTCATTTACTTATTTATTTAATCAGGTTTATTGAGATATAATGCATTTCCAGAAAGTTTACAATTTGCTAAGAAATCATCAACTGTAATTAAGATAGTGAATGTAGCCATCATCCCTACAGATTGCTCATACCCTTTGGTAATCACTCCTTCCCCTCCCCTCATTCCCAAGCCACTATTGATTGACTTTCTGTTACCACAGATTAGTTTGCATTTTCTAGAGCTTTATATAAATGGAATCAAATCGTATGTACCCTTTTTTGGTCTGGCTTCTTTCATTCAGCATAATTATTTTGAGATTCATTCTTGTTACTGTATATCAATAGTTTATTGCTTTTTCTTTCTAAGTAGTATTCTATTGACTGGATATATTAAAATTTGTCCATTCATCTGTTGATGAATATTTGGGTTGAAGCTATTATGAACAGTACTATTGTGAATTTTCACCTACAAGTGTTTGTGTGAACATATGCTTCCTTTATTCTTGGATAAACCTAAGAATGGAATGGCTGGATCATATGGTAGGCACAGCTTTAACTTTTTCAGAAACTGCCAAACTTTCTTCTAAAGTAGTTGTACCATTTTACATTCCTAGCAGCTATGCATGAGAGTTCTAGTTGCTCCATATCCTTGCCATCACTTGATGTGGTTAGTCTTTTTAATTTTTTCAGTTTTACTAAGTATGTAGTGGTTATCTCATGTGGCTTTAGTTTGTATTTCCCCAGTGACTAATGACCTTTCACGCCTTTTCATGTGCTTAGTTGCCATTGGCATATCTTTGTTGAAGTATCCGTTTAAATCTTTTGCCTATTTTTGACTGGATTGCTTGTTTTCTTGTTACTGAGTTTTGAGAGTTCTTATATATTCTGGGTATAAGTCACTTATCAGCTGTATGTTTTGTATAGATTTTTCTTCTAGTCTATGAGTTATCTTTTCATTTTCTTAACAGTGTCTTTTGAAGAGGAGATGTTTTACATTTTGATGAAGTTCAGTTTTTCATTTTCTTTCTTTTAATAGACTGTATTTGATGTCTCAGAAATCTTTGCTGAATTCAAGCTCACAAAAATTTTGTCCTGTTTTCTTCTACAAGTTTTATAGGTTTAGGTTTCACATATAGATGTATGGTCTGTTTGGGTTAATTTTTATACATGGTACAGTGTCTGAGTTCATTTTTTGGCATATGTATAATTCAGTTTTTCTAGCTCCATTTGTTTTGTAGTCATTGTTGTTTTTTGAAAAAAGCACTGTCTATTCTCCACTGCATTGCCCTGGTGCCCTTGTCAAATATCAGTTGTCCATACATGTGTAGGTTTATTTCTAGATTCTTTATTCTGTGCCATTGATCTAAGTTATTTTGATTATTATGGCTTTATAATAATTCTTGAAATCAGATAGTGTCTGTCCTCAAACTTTGTTCTTTTTTCAGAGTCATTTTGATTATTCCAGGTCCTTAGCATTTCCATATGAATTTTAGGCTTATTTGTCAATTTCCACCAAAAAAAAAAGCCTACTGGGATTTTGACTGGGATTGCTGTTTGACTGGAATTAGTCTAGAGATTAATTTGGAGAGAACTAACTGAACTTACTTTAGTATGTATTTCCTAAAACCAAGTACATTCTCTTCCACAGCCATAGTACAATTATCCAAATCAGGAAAATAACACAATGCAGTACTATGTTGTAATCTATAGATACTGTACACATTCCAGCAATTAGCTCACTGATGTCCTTTATGGCAAAGGCATCCACATGCTGTATTTAGTTGTGTTAAACAAAAATTATGGTCAGCCATTGTGTTGGATGAGCCCCTGCACTAGGCTCCCACAGACAAGACCAAACCAAAAGGGGCATCACCCATGCTAAATGCCACATAATCAAACCAAAACTTTAAGGAAGCAGGTAGATCCCCAAACAGACCAGTTCTCCTGAAAACAGGAGATTCCAGTCCATCTGAGTAATAAGGAAGTCCCTTTGCTTTAACCATTACAAAAAAGTAAACTGAAGTAACAAAACAATAACCAATGAGCTTTTTTTCCCCTGTTCTGTTTCCTTGTTCTCACTTTACAAAATCCACTGTTCTGCTATTGCCCAGTGGGGGCTTTTGTTCTATAATATTCTGTAGAGTAGAGGCTGGCCTGATCGAATCATGAATAAAAGCCAAGTAAA